CAGTATCATGCCTGAACAAATTTAGTACAATATGCCAACTCAAGAAACTCTAACCACTCCCATGAATACTCCACACATTTGGTAACATCATGTTGGCTTGTAACGTTCGGATCTCTGCGATATGCAACCATCGTAGTAATCCCCTCATTCCTCAAATCTCTCAAAATATCTCCAAAGTCGCCATCTCCGGTGACAATCATGATGTTATCATCGTGATATCTTTCTTCTTTTTGTTCTAGTCTCTTTTCATCCGTTGCATGATAATAATCAAAACACTGGTTGTTGTTCTTCAAATACGGCTTCACCGGGGTACCTGAATAACCCACCACTATTCTGATTCTCGTTTCTCCTGTGAAGCCCTTGTCTTTGAGCTTTCTTACAAATCTGTCATAGACCTCGTATGCCGTCTTTTCATAAGGTAATGTGCTTAAGTATCGGTCTAATACTTTTGGCACCCCGGCACATTCGTAATCCCACCAAACTTCATTGCGTTTGGTGTTTCCTTTTGTCTGGCCCTCCTCCCGAATATCATCAAAGTCCTCTCGTGACTCATCATCCCGTGACTCTCCTAACTCATCATCCCGTGACTTTCCTGACTCATCATCTCGTGACTCTCTCTGGAAAAAAAACCATGAAACATATCCTGTTTTTGAGGACCTTATCTATGTTTGAATCAGAAGCTGTGTATATTCAAAAGAAGAAACATGTATTTTACCTTATCGTCTTTTTCACGATAATCATCACCATCACCATCATAGTCCGGCTCATCTCGTGTCTCATCTGACTCGTCTCCTTCCATCATAGCCACATTGATATATGTAGCAGCAGTATTCAGGTGAGATAGCCCACAAGTGAACAGAAGAAGCATTAAAGCACGGTTCACAAATCTGTAAACAGATGACAAATAAAAATTTTTAGAAAGATAACATTTAAAAGGAGTGGATTAGAGGAAAGGTTGGACGATAACTCATACTCATTCCAAGGCAACAAGAAAAGGTGTTTGAAAGCAAATTAGTAAGGTTCCATCTTTGATATAAACTATAAGAGATCATCATGCATCACTTACTTTAGCGACAATTCAATGTGCTCAAGGCGAAAATAAAATACAAAGAGATCCCCGTAGCTTTTCATAGTGTCGGGATTGTCAAGGCCAAGTTCTCTCTCATTTATATCTAGAGCCTTCTGCTGATATTATGTCGGGGTCTTCCTGTTCCATACATTGGGGTTGGCAACAAAGCAGATATCTCAAGTGAGGAACTTCCTCTCTTTGAAAGCTTTCCTGGTAATGGCGGTCTCATAGCCGTAAGTAACAATGTAGACTAATCACTAGCTTCTGTTAATTGTATTTGATGTTTGCTTTTAGTTTATATAATCTGCTGCGGGTTTTTGCGCAGGCCGCTAAGGAAACCAGATATGATAAGGAAGCTTTGAACAGATTTTTCCTCAAACGAAAAATTATCTTCTTACTATCTGTGTTGATGATGATCAATGTTTTGTAATGTGCAGTGTAATTTAGGTCGAAAGATAACAGGAAAAATGGTGGTGGTCATTGTAAGGAGCAGCAGTACCTGCACTAGTAGCATGACAAGTATTGAGAATAAAGAAGAGACGTGGTGAAGAAGAGAGGATCAAGAGTGCTCGAGGAAGAGAGAAAAAGCTGTGATGACATCTTTGTCTGTGAAAGGAGTTTGCACTTCCATATTTATGGAAGAAACATTAGAAAGCAAAAAAGTTCATACATGACTGACTAGTATCAGTTTCAGTTCCATCTCTTGCTGGCCTTTGATTTCTGTTTAGACTGTTGAAAAGCTTCGCTTCTTTCTCTGCTTTTGACATCTTTGCCTTCACTTTTGGAGCTCTCTTCTAGCTCTGCTTCTCTCTCTCCACCTCCTTTGCTCTTGCCTCCAGATTTTTTCTCCCAAGTAATACTGAGAGTCACAGAGAACGAAATCACACATTCAGAAATATGACCTTTATAGACTTGGAGTAGCTCTCCTGTGGTTGTGTATTTTTAAAGATTATTATTCATAAGATAATCTACAAGAGAAATGCTCACGGAGTTGTGTAAAGAGTGCTCCCTTCCAATCTGCTTAACAACTTGTTTCGGGATAGGACGACAAAAAAAACCCTTAGAAGAACCCGAAGCTGGATCCATACGCAATTCTTGGGTTTTCACACTAGCACGAGAGATTCTTGCTTGGTGGTGGTATCGGAAGATGGGTCAAGAAGAGTTGTATAGTGACCATACCAAGAATTGTTGGGAAGATATGAGCAGGAGGTGGATTCTGAGTAACCCAATGCATCAGAGATGTATCTACACTATTCTTCACACCTACATTACACCAGAATTTTCTTTGGGAAAAAGCAGCCAGCAGGTGGTGTGTAACTCAACGAAGAATATCGACATTTCTTGACACAAGACAATTGAACAGATGGTTTCATGGAGCTAGTTTTAACTATGATGGTGGGACTTTGGAGAGTAGGAATCCTAGAGTTGGGAATGATGAGTATCTGTTGAATATCTGCAGGTTTATGACGTAGCAGAGAAGAAGCTAAGATATGATGATGGGAATGAAAGCGATAGATAGATAGATAGCTGCTCACAAGATGTTTGGATCCTCCTCCTATCAGCAGCACTTGTGCTTTTTGGCTTTAATATTTATTTTGTTACAGGCTTTGGCTCAAATTTCAGGGAATTGATTACTTCAAGTATGATAACTGCAACAACGACCCTTCAGAAGCTCCGAATCTTCTCATCTCACCACATGTTGCTTTTGTCTAAAGTCCGGATTTTGGCAGAGCGATTGAGCTTGTCTCGTGGGATCTCGAATTGGCAAACCAAATGCCATCTCTGATGTGTGTACATCATCTCAATGTCTGGCAGACGAGACGACTGAGGCAGAGAAGCGAGCGTTGTAAGACAAGTATTGGGGTTAACGGTTGAGAAAAGGACTTTGATTGACCATTTGACACATTTCAGGAAGGAGTTTGGTTTACCAAACAAGTTAAAGAGCATTGATAGTGAGACATCCAGAGCTATTCTATGTGAGTCTAAAAGGCACGAGAGACTCTGTATTTCTCGTCCAAGTGTACAATGACAATGGTGATCTTCTAGAGAAAGATGAGACATACTTGCTCAAGAAGGAAAGAGAATTAGACGTGAATGGAGAAGCTAAGGCGCCTTACTCGGCGGTAAAACCCATTAGCAGGGAGAAAGAGAGAACTAAACCCCATTCTCCATTATATCTGTCCTTTGTAAGACAGGAAGGTCCTTGTGGGTGTAAACGACTCCATTGTCTCCATCAACAATTTGTCCTTTTCCTCTCATTACCCTGTCATTATCATCACCACAAACCATTCAAATTTCACACATTTTAACATATCAATGAACAGAGGAAAGGAAAGGAAAAAAAGCTCAATTGTACCATCGCGTTGTCAATAATCCTTCAACTCCAACTAGACCACGGGCATGGATCCTACTTGTGCTTATTCCCACCTATACATAAGAACAAATCTCATTGTCCATTCATTTGGTTATATATCTGATATTATATGTCTCTCTCTTCCCTACCTCAGCACCAAGCCCGAATCGAAAACCATCAGAAAATCTCATACTTGCATTGTGGAACACAGCAGCACTGTCGAGAGCAAACATACGTTAAAGAATTTAGTTTCATAACCTCAAACATTACACGGACTGGAAATCAAAGCATAAAATGCTTTAGTACATGAGCTCTTACCTGTCCACTTGGCGGAGAAATATCTCTGCGACTTCACTATCTTCTGTCACTATGCAATCAGTGTGTGCACTGCTCTCACAAGATAGACAAAAAAGAGTGGCCACGTACTTTGTGATGTTATTAGTTGATATCAGCAATAAGTTTTACCTTCCATGTTGGTGAATATGATCTATAGCACCATGTACGTCCTCTACAATTTCAACAGTGCAGGCCTTGGTACTGTACTCGTGATGAAATGAAGGCGTTTCAGGGATGTTCAGTTTAGCACTTGCCCTTGCCCCACCATACAAAGTGACACCTGCAATTTTACGTGTACACTTTAAACAAAAGTCTCATCTTATTTTTACTCAATATTGAAACAAATGATTTTGATAGATCCAATAAAAACACCTACGTATTCCCAAACTAGTATTCTTACCATTGGATTGCAGAGCATGTATAAGCTCGTTGAGCACACCATTCTGCTCCAGATCCTTATGTACAAGAAGGGTTTCCTGTTAGGACAAGATAATAAGAGAAGATAAAGTGAGACGACAAGTTCTAAGTGATCCAAAAACCAAAAAGGTAAAGAGTCTCTAACCATTGCATTGCAGGCTGCTGGATAGTCTAACTTTGCATCTGAGACTAAGCGCTTTGCCATGTCCAGTTTACAACACTTGTCAACATATACATGACAAATTCCATCTGGAAGCACATAAAAATAAGCAATGCATGTTCTCTCTAAGCCAATCCAACTTGATGGGAATAAAAAACTTAACCATACCAGCATGCCCTAGCACAGGGATTTTCGTCGAGTTTTTTATCTGAGAAACAAGCTTGTTGCTGCCTCTTGGGATCACAAGATCAATAACATCATCAAGCTGTAGCATAAATGCAATTAGTGGGTTTAGGGTAAAGACATCATCACTTCTAGTGACTTACCCTTCATATATCTATTTACCTTGAGCAAATCAGAAATCTCCTCTCTCGACGTCACAAGTCCTATGAGCTTAACTCCAACAGTCTCTGGAATTGCATCAGTGATCACCTACAATTTTTTTCCATGGATTTCACAAATTAGCTAAAGCAAGATAGTGATAAAAACTAGAGATTTACTCCTATCTATGTAATACAAGGTCTATGTACCTTGTGTAAGATAGCATTTGATCGACGAGCTTCCTTTCCACCTTTCAACAGAAGACCATTTCCACTTCGGATTGCAAGTGACGCTATCTGTTTAATTCATTGTTAGAGCATGGTAATCTAGCTATCAGAGTTTTAATCTAAGAGCATAAAGGGTAACGACTCGTGACATACCTGAACAAGTGCATCAGGGCGGGATTCAAAAACAATCAGAAGAACACCTAATGGAGATGAGGTCTTCTCTAAGATAAGGCCATCTGCAACCTGTTAAATAAGAAATTCTCAAGAATTACTTTGCATGTTAACATGGAGGAAGGTTTACAACATACAATATTGTCCTCAGATTACCTGAGTTTTCTTTAATACATGGCCGATTGGGTCGTCCATTTCAGCTAGCTGGCGAATGGAAGCTGCAAGGCTTGAGATCTATCAAGCACAAAACAACGTAAAGTTAGTAATAAATGGCCATATGAAGAGAAAAGAATGGTTGCAGTGTATTTAATCACACACTGAATAGTGTCTTACCTTCCCAGGTTTCATAACTAAACGAGCTACCAAAGACTCTTCATATCCAGCTTCTTGTGCTGCAACAACATCTAAATCATTCTCAGCTTTAATAGTTTTCTCGTTTGCTTCAAGGGCGTTGGCAATATCAAGTAGAATTTTCTTCCTATCTTCTGAAGACAAAGCCTGTAAGCAAATTGACAAGTTGGGGAGAATTGCAAAACGAGAAACAATTTTCTGAATTTACAAGTTGAGACATGCATTGATGCCCTAATATTACCTGAAGCTTTCTGGAACTTTCCCTTGCAGCAATTGCCATGTTACGAGAACTGGTATCTACTACTGGAGCCCATAAATGAGCATCTTGATGGAACAGAGTACCAACACGAAGTCCTCTAAGCACGTTAGCTATATTATCAGCTGCAAACCCACTTCAAGAAAAAAATAGCAAGAAGAATATCACTCTTCCATCAAAGATTATATGCTAGCTTATCGATAAGTTCCTTCTAAGTTCTGATATTCAAGGGAAGACGTTGATGCTAAATGTGATATGTTGATAAAGGACAAAACTTCAATTACAAACATTGAGGTATGGAAATGCCTTTTACCTTGTTATGATAACAGGAACGCCACCATAAGCTGCATTAAGAGCAGCTTTCAACTTTTGCAGTCATTCCCCCTCGTCCTACTTTGGACTTGTCACCAAACGTAATCTCATCCTTGTGTTTTTCTTTAATGTAAGTGTGGATTAACTTTGAAGTAGGATCACTTGGAGGACCAGTGTAAAGACCCTCCACATCATTTAGAAGAATCAAAAGATCAGCTTTCAGTTCAATCGATAGTAGTGCAGCTAAGCTATCATTATCCCAAAATATACCAGTTGCATCCTGGATAGGTTACAGTCAATTAGTAACTCAAGCATAATTATATTCCTCACATTTCCAAAGGTAGAACAAGTTTATGTCAAAACAAACCTTGTAGGGGGCATCTCGAGTGCTTATAGCATCATTCTCGTTGAAAACTGGAATAACCTTCATTTTCAGCATCAATTTGACTGTTTCACAAAGTTGCTTCTTGAAATCCTTATTGCTAAAATTGCTATCAGTCACCAACATTTGAGCCACCGTCACATCCAACTACCCAAGAAAAAGGACGAGGAACCAACACATCAGTATTTGAAAAGCTTGCTAATAAAAATCTTAAAACATTCGAAAAACGAAGAATGCAGAGGATGACCTTGTCAAACATGGTTTCATAGTAAGCCATGAGGCTGCTCTGTCCAACAGCAGCACAAACCTTCCCATCAAGTTCCATTTGTGGCTTTTGCAGGTCTGCAAAACTGAGGATTCCGTAGAGAACAAGAAGAAGAATCAGCAGAGAACAACATTGCATATATAACAGTTATTATGATCTCTCATGGAAGAAAATTTAAGGCTTTGTTTCCAACACATAACCTGCTGTTGATTAATTGTCTGTATCGAAGCCTTTGGCGACCAAGACCAACCGCACCAGAAGACACCAAAATGACCTCAAATCCATCAGAGTTTAATGCCGCAAGCTGACATTATGATTTTTTTTGTAGGAATTAAGTAAACACACAATTCAAAAAACCTTTTTTTCAATATACATTATGTTTAAGGCAGAGTTTAACTAATCAAGAACATATTTTGATGTTAATGGAGTATCATCAAAAAGAAGTACCTGCTCACAGATTGCTCCTAAGCGCGCAAGAGCCAACCTTCCTTGTTTCCCAGTAACAACTGCAGTCCCAACCTGCAAATAATCAAATCTCGGATCACTGATTAACCAGAATCAAAGGAGAAGAACTCGCAGATTTGAGGGCAAATTGTTAACATTATAACGAAACGCCAATTGACATTACATCTAAGGAAGCAATCATTATAAAGTAAATACCAATTGACATCAACCAAACAACAACGCACGATTTCAAAAACATTGGAAAATTTTGAAGATAATTTGACCAATCAAAAATCTAG